TAGACACCTAAAAAATCGATCAATAATATTGTTAATAACAATAAAAAACAATAATAGCGAAAACAGTAATTATCATACTCTTCGCATTTATCCAAACTGATTAACGATAATTTTGTCAGCAATATCAGGATGTTACGAACTAACAGATTTGATTTTCAGTTGATGATAAATCGACTTGAATAAAACCAATTTATAGAATTAGTGCATTTCATGAGTTATAACGTGTGTTATGTGAACCGTGAGGTTTTAATGATACTTTTGAAATCCATTGACTAAATTTATTGTTTGCTTTTTACATACTGTTAAAAATTCGCCATATTTTAATGATTATGCTCTTCTCTGATATGTAATTCGTAGTAATTATGCCACAATGCCCATTGTATTTGTGACTGTAAATGATTTATTTAATTGCAGAAAATTTTTATCGATAAATTCAAAAAATTTTGAAAAATGAAGTCAGTGGCGTGAAAATAATGTTTGACATATGATAATTTACAACCGTCTCTAGGATTATGTGCAATTAAAATTTGAATTGTTGCATGCATGGAACTATACAAACATGATTCAGTCTGCAAGAATCGTACTAACTGGTTGTAGATTATGTTATTTATTGCAGGATGAATGTTACAATCAAGGTATGAGTATCGATTAACAGGAAAACTGAAGTTATTTGTTTTATTATTAAGTGTTGTATGAATTCTTCATATGATATAGTAAATGTGATGTCTAAGAAATCAAATGATTTTCATAAACAAATCAACTGATATGTTCACTGCTTTAGGCGGTAAAATAATAATGGCATATGCTTGAAGATCAAACTCGACATCATTTTGTGCATAGTTCTAGGAGGAATCTATCGACAATGCTAATCATCGGATGAATAGTGCTGACACTTCTCATCCGAAAGACTGCTTTCGCCTTTCGCAGAAAGTGAATACGAGCGAAGTTTTATCTTTTGATTTTTAAGCGTTTTTGCTGTGCAGTGCTACAGCGACCAAAAACGCCCATCTTGGACAGGATGTCCGTGTGTATATGTGTGTTCGAAGCGAGTGAACTTTGTCATCTACTTTCAACTCAGCAACTAGGAAAGCTGTGAGATTGAAATTTTGGGGACATATTTCCGAATCCCATCAAATTTGCATTTTTTCAAAGAGCGAACATTTACCGGGAAAACGACTGGGCTTCATACAAAAAACTAATAATCATGCACCTGGAGATCATGCGGTCCTACAATGCAACATCTTCATCCCAACCGACGCCCTTCCCACTGCATGCTGGAAAAGGCCAAAACACAGCCAACATGAGTCCAAGTGTCAGGCTACAGCGCAGGAATCATTCCTGCTATTAGCGATCTGCCAGTTTAGCGCAACAATGCATGACCGCACCCGCAAGCCTGGTGCGTTCCAGCCTGGGTTTGACATCTAGTACACTTTATTCGCCCTCATCATCGGTCTTTTTTCCCAAGCATGGAAACGCCTTCCTGTCCGGAATGTCTGGAAAAATAGTGAGATGAAAAAATAAAGCCTAATAAATTAGTAATTATTGTGCTTCTTACAGTACAGGACATCCCCTCCCCCCGTGTTCAAAAAGAGAGATGCCTCTCAACCTAATTATGGAATTCCCAACAAAACTCCGAATCTCCCCTCCCCTCTCTCTCAATAGACATAGAGTTTCCGGTTCAACTCGAAAATACTTTATACTTTAATTAGCTGTTGTTCCATCATCTCATTGCCTTTGGTGCAAATATGAACTGTTTCACTGTTACTGTACCTGCAACACTTGGTGCTCATCCCTCAGTGGCGATCCTGACACTAGTTTCATTGCTTTCTTCATCACTGAAGTATTGAGAAATTACCAGACATATCTCAATTCCATCGTCGCTTACGTACCGAATACCAAGATTGCCCGTGCTATCAGTGTGAGTATTCCATATCACTGATGCCAACGGGATGCTCCCACATGCCCTGCACATCTACGCTAGGCTCTTTAATCACGGGCTGCATACTACCAGTAGTACCAACGTCTGTTTGATGTATGTGCGCCACTTGTTCCGGAGTTGCCTGAGTGGTCGTTTACTTCCTCGCATGGCCGCAGTGACATCCTGCACGCTGCTCATCTGACGGAGAGTCCAATTGTTTATACGGTTGTAAGATGATACGCCAAGCAGCCTTCCCTCCATCGCTCTCTTCGTCACAGCTAGCACTCGTTCTTCAGCTTTCATGATTGACCACGTTTCGCACCCGTAAGTCATTGGCTTCAACACACCGGTACTGAAAAGGTGGGCACGGTCCTTTTGGCTCGATATTTCGGAGGTATCGGTAATGCTGTGGAATCTGCTCCAACTTACAGTCCTTTGACGTGCAGTCTGCGACTGGAGATTGTGGCGCATATCTACATACGGTCCAAGATACATCCTATCAAAATGTAGATGAAAATATTAAAATAAATCTCGACAAAACAATGGATGGACCAGAAAGATCCTGGTGCTATGTCGCACATTTATTTTGGTCGACAGGAGAAACAAATCCTTCAAATATAAGAAAGTATAGCTTGCACATTTGTAAAAAAAAAAAACTACTGAAAGCTCAAAATTACTTTGTACGTACAAAAATTAAAACTTCGCTAAAA